CATCCTCTCTTACATTGCTATGGGGATGTTTGTGATAAGGGGTTTACAATCAGCCTAGTTCATACCACCTTCAAGGGTGCTGTACATTCCTCACAGTAGTTTCTAAACTACAGATCCTAGCTTGCACAGAACAAAGCACACATGCTTAGGGTAAAGTTGGGCTTTGATTCTACTTGTGATGTATGGGCCAAAATGTGTCCGAACAGATCAGTACTGTTCTTAACATTAGGAGAGAATGCTATATATGGCACGAGTACTACTAAGACTGATAACCTTTATACTTTATACTTTCCCTATCTTACTAAAAAGTATTACTTGAAAGTCTCAATTTACCTAACCCATGATGGGCAGCAAACATCAATTATTTATGGTGTCATCAGGTAATGATCACGGAACATAAAAAATTGCAATTTGAAATGTAAGAGGAGTCAGTGGCAAAGAGCATGACTTCACAAATGAAATAAAAGAAACAAAAAGGAATATATTGCATGTCTATAAAAGAAAAAGGGAAAGTATATAATAGGTTTGAATGAAAAGGATTTGATCTTGTGAATTTGAGTTAATGAATACATCAATATCTGCAGGAAAATGAAAAGTGAAGGACCTAATATGAGTTCTGGGAAAGACTGCACTATTCTGAATGTATGAGGTTCCAGGGGAAAAATTATTTCATTAGGTGACAAAAATGGACGAGCGACTATGAGACAAGAGAGTTTATAAAAAGTGAATGGGTGAGAGACTCTATAAATGAAAACATTGACAGGTAAATATTTGGAATGCAAAAGTTCTTTCGTTTAGAGCACATGGTTTAAGCACAAGTCTATTCATACCTACATATGGCAAAGGAATGAATTCAAATCCAGAGACATAAGAAAAGCTGAAAAAAAATTAAAGACTAACAGTTCTGAATGTGAAAAAGGCATTATTTGGCAATATCGAGTGGATCTTGGGCAATAATAGATATGGGAGAAGTGAAACAAACTAGAGTGAAAGTAAAAGAATTATAGGAAGGGAAAATACAAGTCTTGTATGAAAGATAAATTAATCTCCCAACAAAATAAATCGAGAGTGATTACATAGAAAGTGAAAATAGTAGGTGCTTAAAACAGAATGAAACAAATTACACTACTGAGTGCTACGGAAATGTGGAACAATAATGAGTAGAATAGAAAAGGATGCTTGCTGGAATAATGTGTATATGAGAATTAGTGTTGCAAAAAATGAGGATGTGTATAGACAGAAAGAATAGGTGCAAAGGAAGTAATCAAACAAAACAAGGAATTGAAATGATTAAAAGAGGCAGAAAGAATGCAAAATAGTTTTGATTGAAGTTACATATTATTCTGAAAGTGAATGAAGAACATGAAGTCTACAGCAGAGTGAAATTTAACTGAAATAAATGTGATGAAATGAATTATGATGAAACTGAAGTGAGGGAATCCTAGGAGAATTTTAGAACTTTGTATGGAAATAATAGCAATATGTCAAAGATTACATTTGCAACAAATGTAAATCCAAGAAGAAATAGATGCAAAAGAAGTCATAAATGCCTTGAAGATGTTGACAAATGTTTAGACTGCAGGTATGACTGTATAACTGGAGAAAAATGTGTGATGACTACAAGATCACTTTTTTTGTTTCCCTATACGAAGGGAAAGTTAGCAAGAGTTAATGCAAAAGCTCCAAGGCAATTAGTTTATTAAGTGTGCTTGAGAAGTGAAGATGTTTGGCAGAATTTTGACTGAAAGGATATGAGAGGTAACAATGAGCAACATCTGGAAAGTGCAAATGCATTTTTATGCCAGGCAGGACCAGACTTTTGCTCTTCATCAGGTCATGGGAAATGCATGGATGGGAGAAAGCAAGTTTATTGTACATTGATTTAAAGAGAAAGTGCATAATAAAATGAATAGGCTTGAATTACAGAATATTTTGCGGAAATCAGAAGTGGTTGGTTGCTGAATGCAGCAGGAGCAGTATATGATGGAAGTAAAGCAAATATGAGAATAAACAGAATACTTTATGAATGGTTCAGCAATGAGCAGGAAATAAGACAAGGGTGTATGATGGCTCTTTGGTTATTTAATGCATTTATTAATAAAGCAAGGACAGTTGACAAGGACAAAACAGAACAGAAGCATCATTAATGATACTAGTACAAACTAAATGAAGTTGTATTTCCTTTCCTTTTCTTGTATCATGCCTTTAATTTCTTTGCTTACTATTTTACTATTTCTTTGGTTAGTATTTGCTTACTATTTTACTATTACCCAGAGTCACTTTGTATGAAATGGGTGGCTATATAAATGTGATAGATAGATAGATAGATAGATAGATAGATAGA